CGCCGCGCCCGCGGCCCCGGCGCCCGGCGGCACTCTCCTCCGCGCCCGCCAGCTTGCCCAGCAGCCTGGCCTGCGCCGCCGCCTGCTGCGGCGCCCCCGACGCGGCGACGAGCTGCGCCGGCGCGACCGACACCTGGCGCGCGCGGCCGCCATCGCCGGCCGACTCCTCCGCCTCGGCCTTGGCCCTGAGCTCCTCCCGCCGCCGCGCCGCGTCCCTAGCCGCCGCCTCCTGCGCCGCCTGCTGCGCGCGGGCCGCGGCCGACATCCGGCCGTCCCGCCCCACCACAAACTGGCGAAACGGCGGCGCGGCCGCGCCATCGTCCCCTCCTCCGCCGCCGCCGCCGCCGCCGCCGCCGCCGTCGGCGCCTGCGCTTGTACCAGCGCCGCCGCCGCCCGGCTGGCCGGGGCGGTTGGCTGTGCCGCCAAAGCGGCGGTTTGCATCAAAGGCGTCTGCAAGCGCCTGCACCCTGCCGCCAAGCAGCTTGGCATTTGTCGGATCCAATAGGATGACGCCCGCGCGCACAGGGGCGTTGTGGATGAGGACCTGGGGGTGGGGCGTCGTTGCAAATCGTGGCGGCGGCGCACAGACAGGATAGGCTCGTGCACAGGCGACCCGCGTGGCGCCGGTACCAGCCAAGCACTCTCTCAAGCCAGCCATTATCAGAAGGGGGCGCCAAGAGCTCCGGGATCCCACGCGCCAACACCGGGTTTGGGCACAGCCGACGCGGCGCTGCCCCGCGCGCTTGCCGCCGGGCGGCCCGGGCGCGTCGGCACCGCTGGCCCGGGCGGCCGCGCCGGCGCAGAATCCACCGCGCGCCCGATGCGGCAGGGATCCCGCCCCAGCCGGCCCCCCACCTTAGTACCGGGCGGCGTCTCATCGCTGAGCCCTGCGACCCCCTGCCGCCACTCCACGCCCTTCGCCGCCAGTCGCCCGTCGTGAAGCTTCAGCACGAGCAGCTGCCCCTGGCCGGCGAGCTGGTAGGTCGGCTTGCTTGCATCGACCACAGACATGATCTAGCCGGCGGAAGCCAGGGGGACAATGACTGGTTGATCCTGGCGGGCACTCCATTAGTCTTTCAAGTGCGGCAAGGGCTGCTGGGAAAGTCATGTGTCGATTGCTGACGTGGCGCCCGACCTTCCCCCTTATCACGCGACCTAACGCACACGCGTGCGTGCGTGCACGCTGGTTCACGCAAGGGCTAAGCCCCACGGCACGCGCAGGACACCCACGCGTGGGGGCTGCTGGGGCCGCCCGAAATGCCCCCAGGGCCCACCTGCAGCACGAGCGGCCCCTTCACACTGGAGGCAGGGGCCCTGCTGACGTCATCAGGCAGGCCGCCGCCGCCAACCTGGTCAATGTGGATTGGGAGGTTCCGGGCAGACGTGGCTGAGCAAATGATAAGTGGATCCGCAAGTCTGCCAGGGCGGCCTCAGCTGGGGAAAAGAAGCCGCTCAGAACGCCGCCAGTCTCTGCAAGTGGCGACCCCTCCTGTCCGCAGGCAACGGCGGCGGCGCCAAGGCGCGGCTGTACAGGCCGGGGGGGCCAGCGAGTTAAGTGTGGGGCAGCGCATAGCTGCCATGCGGCACAAGCAGCGGCTTTCCGGCAGCAGTGGCCGCTCGCCTTCCGCAAGTCGAGGTCTAGCAAGGTGCCGCGCGCGTCGGCGGCAGTCAGGGGGGCGCCGCTGCCGCCCGGCCCGCCTGCCAGGTCAGCGAGGGCATCTGCCAGGGCTTCTGCACCCCAATCGACTCGCCAGCCCTCCTCCTCGAGTGCCTTTTTGACGGCGGCAGGGAGGTCCATCGCCGCTGCCTATGACTGAAGCAAGCAAGCGTCAACGCGCAACGGCGGTGTGTGTGGGGCAGGGTACGGCCGCTGCGTGCCCCGGCTGTGTGTGCTGCCGCTAGGCGGCGACTTAGGATCGGGCAACCTGCGCTTCCAAAACAGCTTCCTCAAAGCCAAATTTTCGAATCAAGCTAGGGCATATACATCAATTCAGCACCCACTGATCTACACGCTGGGCGATCTCTTGTGCTTGCTCTACAGCGTGAGACACACGGACGCGCAGCACCATACACCATCATACCACCAAGTTTGGTTTCCCTCGTTTGTATCATACCGTATCGTGGCTGATCTACCAGGCGCGAAGTGCCATCCCACTTCGCACAGCGCGCTGTAGGTAGTAAGCCCATATTGGACATCTGTACTAGACGACCAGCCACTCCTACCAGTGCTCGCCCCGACATTGCCGCATCGGCATTGGCACACGAAGCTCGAGCCAGACGCGCCGCAGCGGCCGCACGCCTCGCCCCAGCACGAGCAGCCATGACCGTCGCGCAGCCGTGGGTGGAGAAGTACCGCCCCAGGAACGTGGACGAGGTCGCGCACCAGGAGGAGGTGGTGTCCACCCTCAAGAAGTCCCTGGAGACGGCCAACCTGCCGCACCTGCTGTTCTACGGCCCGCCAGGCACGGGCAAGACGTCCACGGCCCTCGCCATCGCGCGGCAGGTGCGCCCGCCGCAGCCGCCGCGCAGCTGCAGGTGGAGGGCCGTTGCAAGCCGCCTTGTCATCACAGGGTGCCAGGCTGGTCAGCGGGACCAGGTCCTGACTGCCAAACACGCCCACATGAGCACATGTTGTCCCCGTTGGATTTCGTCACCCGTCCCGAATGGACGCATGCCGCGCGCCCGTGCCCGCGTCCGCGCCGCCCGCAGCTGTATGGGCCTGAACTGATGAAGACGCGCGTCATGGAGCTGAACGCCTCTGACGAGCGCGGCATCAGCGTCGTGCGGCAGAAGGTGCGGCTGCCGTTGTCTTCCCAGGCCTCGCCCCACACACTGACACACACACGCACACACACACACACGCACGCACGCACAATCACACACTCACAACACCAGCACCATGCGTTGCATCACTCGGGGCCGCTGCACTTGCACCTGCCGCCGTCCAGCCGTCCGCTCCAAGCCTGCAAACCCCTCCCACGCCCCAGGCCCCGCCTCGCTGCGCGGCAGCCCGCACCACCGCCCCTGACGGACCCACAGCCCACTAGCAGCAGCTGCCGAACAGCTGACGAAACCATCCTATCACCGCGGGTGCGCAGGTCAAGTCGTTCGCGGCCGCGTCGGTCGGGCAGCCGGTGCCGGGCTACCCCTGCCCCCCCTACAAACTACTCATCCTCGACGAGGCGGACAGCATGACTCAGGTGCGGCCGCCGGGGGCTGCGGCTCAACGCTGTATACACACCCGGTTTCCACCCTTGCAGTACAATGCAGAAGGATCGCCACCAAAATCCTCTTGCGCCGTCTCCCGGGTCAGCTCGCGAGCAGGAGTGATGCTTGGTCGCTCACTCGGGGGGTTCCAGGGTAGGCTAGCCGCAGCCCTCAGCAGCGGCACCTGCCGGCCCCGCCCCCGCCCTGCGCTCTCCTCCTTGCGCGCAGGACGCCCAGAACGCGCTGCGGCGCACAATGGAGCAGTACTCAAAGGCAAGAGCGAGTTGTGGATGAATGGGGGGGACGGGATCACCCCGCGGCTTGAAGATAGTTTGGAGGGGGGATGACCATCCCTCCCAAGGCAGCCGGGGCAGTGCTGTCGTTCTGTGTGTGTGGGTGTGTGGGTGGAGGGTGGGGGGGTGAGGGCGAGTGGGTGGATGGCGGGGCTTGTGTGGTGAGCCAGTCGCCTTGACCTTCTCGCTGCCATCTGGGACTATCTGAGCCGCTCCCATCCCTTCGGCCTTAGTTTGGCGGTCACCACTTCTGCTGGTGTGGTTCGACAGGCCCAGGGGCGGCTCTGCTCCTACCCTCTTATCTTCCGCACATTTTGCACAGTCCCCCTCCGGCCCGTGCCTGACCGCTGCCTGCTTTTCACTCCGCCCCCCTTCATTCCACACTCGCCGCCGCCTGAAAATCAACTCGCTCCCATGCCAAACCCTGCACTTTGTCGTTTGTTGCGCAGGTGACGCGGTTTTGCTTCATCTGCAACTACGTATCGCGCATCATAGAACCCCTGGCCTCGCGCTGCGCCAAGTTCAGGTTCAAGCCCCTGCACCAGGCCATCATGAAGGTGGGGGGTTGGGGGTGGGGGTGGGAGTGAGCACCCCTTTGGGGG